TTTTGATATTATTTTTACATTAACACTTATAACCCCATGCTTTATTTGTTAATTAAAACGCATAATTATTTAAGTAAAGGGCCTACAGTATTGTGAAACAAAAAGACATGTTCATGTTTGTTTTTAAAGCAATCATGACAGCAGAAGTTGAGAGATTTCTGGAAGGTATTTGTCTAGGAAAAAAGAAACGGGGTACATACTGCGTCTTCTGTGGTGTTGGGTTATTCTGCATTCTTCACATTTTACGTTTTTGTCAAAAATTTACCAAAATCTTGGCTCTGAATTTTTTACAGCTGTTGGATGGTTTTATTATCATTTTGTGTGATATTAAAACAGACCTGTTCTGAAAAATGTGGTTAAACTCCTCCATTGCAAAACATGTATATGTAAGCCCTTTATATGCTTACAGTTTTTATAGCACAAGATTATCATATCACTTACCTCTAAAATGCTAAGAAAGTATTTCATGATAACTTTTGATAACTCTTGTAAATGTTATACAGTGTGTGAAGATTGGTTTGAGCCTTTCATTGATGTTGAAGTGAATTTGATATGTTTTAATCTTTTAAAGAGTAATTTCATATACATGTAATATATATAAAGGTATTGATTTTATTGTTTTTTTTTTTTGTTTTGTACTTTTCGTTGAGTTGATATCTCTTTTGGTTTTGTGCTGCACAGACCCACATCTGAGGGAGTTTAGTTCCTACTCTATTAATGTTACCTATGGCTATAGGAAAGAGAAATTGGCAGGTTGGGTGCTGTTCTTTACATGTTATGTGGATGTAACCTTTGGTGTTCTCTGTTGTAACAGGCTACTTGGGTGTCTGCTTTTTCTATTCATGACTGATAGTGTATTTGAATGCTAGTAAGTAAAACTATACCATTAACTATACTCTGGTAGTGGTATATGTACTGGCCAGGGGTAAAGTTTGTGACTTTTTCTCAAGACTCCATGCTTATATCATTATATGGTAATTGTGGAAAGAGTTGTATTTTCAGTACATTTGACAATATCAAAATTTTATATCACATATATGCAAGACTGCCAAGTAAATGCAGTTATCACTTTACTCATGTTCTGATATTTTGTTGCAACCACATATCCAATATAATATTGTGCTAAACTCATCCCTGCATAGTTTAATGGATGTGGCAGTAGTACATGTTGACAATTTATCCCATGGCATAAGAGGGCGTCAAACTAAAACTTCATATGCTTGATCTCCATGAAGTACTTATGTCTTATATAACATTAAAAAATTGTTTCAAAATTTATTAATTTTGTTGTACACTAGAATAATATATTTCCAAATTCAATAGTTTAAAATTGGTAGTGATAGATTTCCAGCACTAGTTTTTCATGTAGAACTTACTCAGCTTATTGGGAAATAAGATGTCTATAGATAGTTATAGAAGATCGATCTTATTTAGTGTAAGTGCAAAAAGTATTTTTATTTTTTACTGACCAAATTTAACACTGGATCTCAATGGTTATTGCCCTGGCTTAAAATCTTTTCCCCCAGAACTGCTAATGCTTTATGTCAATTGCATTTTGATGTGTTACTACAAGTGTTCCTCATAAAAACTACGCTTTAATTTATTATGCATAGAAAACAATATGCAAAAAGTAATTGTTACTATTTTGAGTTTAATTTTACAAGGTCTGGTGGTCTTTCCTGCTGACACACATACACAATATATTCCAAGTCCTTTGAACTGAGAGAATTCACATTCAACTGGTCTAACTGGAAAAATCAATGACCTTAGGCTTGTGCTTATTCCTTACACTGGATGCTTTTCATGTTGATTCTGTTTTAATGTTATGATGCAAAAATATAGGTAATTGTTTTTGGCTATGATCATTAATGCTTCAGAGCTTGAAATCCATTTTCGCTACGAGTAGAAGGAGATATGGCAGTTTAATTGGCATGCATGGTTCCCAACATCGTTGATCTTGCATTGCTTAGATGGTATAAGCAATAGTCTCCTTTAAAAACACTGAATAATGGTCTTATAATGTTTAGATTATGCAGAAATACTCATGGTTGGAAGCCCAGTGTTACTTGTACTTTTCTTCCTGTATTGCAGTGTATGTTTTGTGCATCCTTCTCTGGGTAGTCAGATATCAGCCTACCCCAAGTACCCTCATCAACCTCACCACTTAATCTTTTAATTATTCTAAACCCTGCAACCCTAATTAAAATATGAACCAGTGCAACAGTATACTATAATTTGATTTACTTCTCCTTCTATATAGTGCTTTAGTATATACAGGTGATTGTAATATGTTTATAAAGATATGATTATTGGTAAGTGCCAGCACTTTGTTTCCTGGTAAAAAGGATGAGCATGTAGGACTGATGGTATGCTAGTTTATTGAGGAATGAGATGACAGCTAGTTTTGTGGGTTCTTGACACATATTCACTCTAGCACTGCATTGGGAATTTAAGTCAGGAATGACAAGCACGTATTGTTGGCATCTCTAGAAGGTGTCTGATTTGTGAGTAAAGGGATCATGCTTGTCTTGGAAAGTAAAGAGTTGCTTTCTTGGTTCAGATCATCATAAATAAATGTGGAATAAGATAATACTCTAACCTGATCATCAACTTTGCTGTCTACCTAATTTTGCTCTGGGTACTTCAGTTGCCTTACATATCTCCACTTTTTCATAAAGTGAGTAGAAGTTTCATTATTTGTCACAGTAAAATCAATTTAAAGAAACATAAGCTTTTCTTTTGAAAGTCTACTTTGCAGATCATCTAGAGGTATCATTTGTACCAAGTCTAAAATCAGGTCAAATGTTATTACATATATTTCATAGTTAAGTTTTATGTTTCAGAGCCAAGGAATGAAGAGCAGGAGGCGCTGTTAATGAGGAGAGCTCCTAGTGTAGTGATGGCAGCCCAGATGTCAGCTTACAGTGAGGAGGACATCCCTCATGGTCAGCTCACTGCCGCCAGCTCTATAGGCAGCATGACCATGCTAGAAGACCTGAAGAGTAATAAAATTCAGATTGATGTAGGCGGTCCATCAAGTGACGAAGATGAGGAAGATGATGAGGTTGAAGAGGCTGGAATGTCAGAGACAGAGATAGAAAAAGAGGAAGCGGACATAGAAAAGGGGAAAGAAGTAGAGAAAGAATCAAAGGACAAAAATGAGAATAGTATATCTAGATCTGGAAGTAGGAAAAGTAAAAATAAGAAAGGAATATTGTCTAATATCAACAGGGATATCTTGCAGGCAGTGAATCGTTTCCAGAGGAAACAGAAGAAAGGGACCATTGATGTGTGGTGGCTTTTTGATGATGGAGGTAATTCAAAATGACAAGCCAAAAGTAGTGTAATATAAATATACTGATAATATTAATAACATAGGTTATGTTATTAAAACATAGTTTTACATAAGATGATTAAATATTTTTATAAGAAAAAAGTCTTCATGGTGTTTTGAAATTGTATTAAGCTTAGTGGATATGTAATTGTGTGTGATATCTTGAGTACCTTTTGAAGTATTGTTGTTACATAATCAGCTTGTCAGCTACTTTTCACTACTAGACTACTAGTTTTACTAGTTTTCACTCCTAGTATTTGTCACCCATCACTTTAGTGCTCTCTACTTGATGACTTATCAACAGGCTATCATCCAGGCTATCTAAATGACCGTTGAGTGTAGAAAAATGAGATACCTTATAATTGCCAACCAGAGTATTTGCTTTCAACTACGATTGATTTTTTCTTCTCTACCAGTCCTTTCCTTATCTAATTGTAGGTCTGACCATGTTGATCCCATACATTCTGTCCACCAAGTCACATTGGTCAAATTGCGATCTCCGTGTCTTTACTGCTGGAACTAAAAAGAAGGAACTTGACAGGGATCAGAAAAAGTATGACCAATTTATTTAAAAGTGTTGCATCATTAACAATACATTTAGAGAACTCAAAGTAAATTTGCTGACTTTCATATTTATTTTATTTCATTTTTTAACATGAAAAAGTTTTCAGATTACATGCTTTAATGTCAATGCTTTGCTTTGATAATATAGCTGTTGACACATCTGTCTTTTGTATTTCAGCATGGCAACATTGTTAAGTAAATTTAGGATAGACTACTCAAAAATGACGGTTATCCCAGACATTGGAAAGAAGCCAAAAGAGGAAAGGTAATATGTTGGTGTTTTTATGAGAATCCCCTTACTTATTGTACCACCAGCGTAGGCGCTGGCGGTACACATGGTTTTAGTCCCAACCCGTATGTTCCGCCGGCTCCTGCGGCTCCGCCGGCTCCTGCGGCTCCTGCGGCTCCGCCGCCAAGTCACCGTTACCGCTTCTCCTCCTAGACAGTAAGGGCCTCCATACCCATCTCTTGGATTTAGGTCACCTATAATCTCAACTCGTTCCACGTAAAATTTGGACTTTGTCGGTATTGGGGTCTAGGTGTGGCACTCATTGCAATGCACCCTTGTCCAAAAATGGCAAAATTAAATGCTAATTATCTCCCCTACAGAAGGAATTATGGGAAAAATTTCTAC